CTTCCTTCTCCTTCTTCTTCTTTCTCCTTCTCCTCCTCTTCCTTCTCTTCTATTTCTTCTTAACCCCCAGTGTTTGGTATGAAACGCTGCAGGAGAGATACAGGTGTATGTATATATGTATGTATGTGCAAACATACATGTGTGTGTTTACACACACACACACACATCATTTATGTGATGTAACAAGATCATCATTTTTGTCAATTCAAGTTTTTCCTCTTGAAATTGTTCTCAGACATCATACAGAGCAGAAAGCAGGAATCATCCTATGTTTTCAATACAAGCTGTGGTTTTAGAGGCTTAGCGTCTTGATTCTCAGTCAGGCTAGATATTATTTATGAGAAGCTGAACTGGGGAATATGAGATTTACACATAATTATTGTACCAAACTCGTGTTATGCAGATTTAAAAGAAGCAAAATCTTATACAATCCTTTCATACAGAAATAGCTGCTGACACTTTCAAGTAATATATACATGCATACAGATAAACACACATATATATTTATATTGAATGACATTTACAATAACTAAAAGGCATTTGATATGGAAGTATGTGTACATATGTATTTTCACCTTTAATGTACTGTTAAAGTTCTATACCTTGTAATTCCACTAAAAAATATAGGATTTTCTCAAGTAATATAAATATTTTAAAGCTTTTAAAAGTAGAATATTCCATATTTGTGTTTCCCCTCCAAATCTCAGCTGAAGCTCCTACTAGCTGTGGGTGGTAGTGAGTGCTCATTGTTCTTCAGTCTAGCTCAGTTGTTCTCACCCTTCCTAACGCTCTGACCCTTTAATACAGTTCCTCATGTCATGGTGATCCCCAACCATAACATTATTTTTGTTGCCACTTCATAGCTGTAATTTTGTTTCTGTAACAGATTGTATTGTAAATATCTGTGTTTTCCACTGGTCTTAGGCGATCTCTGTGAAAGGGTCATTCGGCCCCCAAAAGGTTCGTGACCCACAGGGTGGGGTCTGCCACTCTAACTGATGCTAGGAATTAACCAAAATTTTAGTTTTCATTCCTCTGATACAACTAAGAAAGAATGTCAGAGGCATGAAAATGTGTATCCATCTTGTACTCCCGAGAGAGGACGGAGTGCGATGCACCTCCGCCCACCAACAGTATATTCTCTTCTAGAAGCTCACATCTGTTAGTGCTTCTCAGGGCTGAATTCACTTAGAGCCTGTTAGTATTCTGTTAAACTCCACCTCCACAGTTACCTGGCAGCAGCCAGGTAGGCCTGCCCACTATAAAAGGGGGTACTTGCCCCCTCCTCTCTCTCTTGTTCTCTCTTACTCCTTTGATTCCTGCTTCAGATTGCCCTCTCCCCTCCCCCCTTCCCTTTTCCCTCTCTCCACGTGGTCATGGCCGGCCTCTACTTCTCTACCTCTCTCGCTCTCTCTCCCTCTTAATAAACTCTCCCTCTTGGAACCGTCTGGTCTGCTGTTATCTGTTCCAAGCTAAGCGCAATAAATCTTTTCAGAGCCTTTGGAGGACCAAGGTGGAAAGGAACCAGAGGATGCGTTTTCTTCTTCCACGTCATGAGAAAACTAGCGTGTGACGTTATATACCTTCCACGAGCACCAGCACACTCTGGTCTGCAAGCAGACTCTCCTGGGTGCACAGTGGCAGTGTTCACGGTTGATAAGAGGCTTACTGAGCCTTGGCTAGGGAGAATGTGAGAAGCCTGGGAACATGCTCTCTTCCTGCACTCCAAGAGACCTTAGTGTGCGACCCGTCTCTCGCCCAGCATCAACACCTCGTGTTTCCTAAGCACACCTCTCTCAGTGCTTATTAGATACAGCGTTTACTGTGTGACGAGAAGCTTAGAAGAGCCTGGCAGCAGCACCGTGTTTTAGTTAACATGGTATTTGATTGGTAACAGGCTTACACATCATTTCTGAATGTGCTCATTTCTGAATGTGTTTTGTTGTAAACGGCTTATCCTGGCGCCTTGCCCGTTTTTACATTGTAGTGTGTATTATATCCCCGCCCCCATGACTGTCAGAGATGTTACACATTATGAATAACTAAAATACCTAGTTTTCTTACATAACAAGACTCTTGTCTGATTTAAGAAGAGTTATGTGCTTGGTCCTGAAGCTTGAATATCTGACACCACTGTTTGCTAATTATATGACATTAAGTTATTCCGCCCCATAAGCCTTACCTTTCAAACTTATAAAACTGTGATGCAATACAATATCTCTATACGACCTTGTGAAAAGTAAGTGAGATTGAGCAGAGAATGGATTGCTTCAGAGGATGAAGCGTTGAAGAGATGGCTCGGGAAATAAAGGGCTGGCTGTGCCGGAAGGGAGGAGCATGTAGCTTGTGGGAGTGTTGGGGTGTGCATCTATGAGTCCAGTGCTTAGAGAGCAGAAACAAGTTGATCCTGGGGTCTTGCTGGCCCACTAACCTGACTGAACCAATAAGGTCCAGGTTCACTAAGACATCCTATCTCAAAAACTAAGATCAAGATTGACAGAGAAATACAGTTGGAGTCAATGCCTTGCCTCTGTATACTGCATGCATGGGCAGTAGCATGTACAACCACCCACAGATGCATACACACACACACATGCACAAGCACATGCACACACACACACACACACACA